CCCGGTTTTTCGCTCAAAATCCGCGATTTTCGGTCGAACTTAGATCCCTGACAGTGTGCCCGCATCCTTCACGGTGAAGGAATTTATCCATCTTCATCCTCGCTAATTTCGGCGATTCGCATCGATCTTTTTCGCGATTCTCTTACGCGATCGTCAAATAGTATTTCGGAAGGTCGGATTTCGAAAATCACTTTCATTCAATCGTTCGAGATGGTTTCCTTCGCTGAGATGACGGAATCCGCCACCATGAGCTAAGCTGTTCCTCTTCGGGCCGCCATCGCCGCAGGAGCTTTCAGAGATGTCCCGCCGCAACCGCTTCCGAATCAACCAGAGAGGGTTTTCACTCAACCAATTTGGTGAGTTCGTTCCAAATTTTCCCCCATAATGTGTTAGGAAATGTTAGGTTGAGCGCCCCCCCCCCTCTGTGCCTCCTCGTGGTAGGTGCAGGGATCGTTCCGAAGACCAAGTTCTTTGCAGGTATTGACCAGGTTCTCTGATGTCCATTGACGATGTCAGCAACTCGAGTACCCTGAGAAAACGCCGGAGAAGTGAATTTTCTAGATTTTCCCTGAGAGAGCACATGGTGGCCTAAAACCACCTAAGTGGCCTTCAGCCTAAATCACCTCGTGATTTACCTCTTCAATTTCAGCAAGTTGCTCTTGTTCTTGTGAGGTGCCCTTAAGGCCCTCAATTCCTTCTTAAGTCACCTTAATCAAAGGCGAGCCCGTCTAACGAGACTCGTTCCACATGAAGGCGCCACGGCACCCCCGAGTCGCTATCATCCCCCCTTATTTTCCTGTTCTCTCATGGTACTCTCCCCTTAATGGTCCTTTGAGGCCAGATAATTCAACAGGATGATCAACGCTAAATTCCTAAGCCAACGAATAATAGTCGGTGGGTCCAGTACCCAGCCGCTGAAACCAGAAGTGCCATTTCGAGTAACGGCTATCGATGATCATCGAGCCGGAGTAACTTATGAGAACGTTAATCCGAACAGTGTTGAGATGATCAATGACAAAATCTCTATTGGTTGTCGTTGGATCATCTGGTTGCATGCAGAAATAAATGATATTTTTGATCATAGGAATTTCAGGTAATTTTTAACTGCGGCACGCCGCATGAGCCACTCGACCGAGTGCCTCTAACCGATTCATATTGCCATTGCCTATGATTATCTCTGTTTGTTTCCTTGCATTTTTGTCAGTGATACAGGGTCCAATTTCCAGGTTCAAGAAAAGCGCATCGTCTCAGTGAATTGTCAATAGTGCATCACACAGTGTGTTCCCTGAATGTGAAGTGTCGGTCGATCAATTGGAATCTAAAGTTTCCCATATGAAACAGAGAATTTAATTTATTGCCACTCAGTGCGAACCGCGCCGTGTTTTTCTCTGCTTATTGTTCCGTGTTGCCAGACATCGACTCAAGAATTGCTTTACGCTGTTACCCCTTAATTTATATTTACACCAATTTTTGTTTTAACGCCTAAAAGTGGGCCTCAGAGCCAGTCCAAGTCGAGCGATAGTTCAAGCTTGTACGGATTTTGTGAATCATGTTATCTCGATGTGTGACCTATCTTGTGATGAGCAAGTGCATCCACTCTTAATTCGTGCTTATGTCTTTTATCCGATCGGAAGTAAGTCGTCATAAGAACGCCCCTCGATATTTTTCCGGAATTGTGCTGAATACAAAGTCTGGTTAGTTCGAAGGGACCTCTGAGCACTCGTCATCTCTCTCAACGTGTTCTTTCCCTTGAACCCCCTCATAAGAGTAATTTCCGGAGAAGTCACGGTTGAGGTGTACGTTTGGGCCGCCCGAATTGTGGCCTACCCAGTCATTTGAAGGCGTTTCCCCGGACAGACGACCTATCCCGAGACTCTCTCTCGATATGTTATGACCCGTGAGTGTTACAGTTTCTCCAAGCGTTCATGTGATTTTTCTAGCCCGACTCAGAATCAATTGTGTAAGTTAATCGTCGTCTCGATGATGTGCGCCATGATGTTTAAAGTGTCCGCCCTCCTGGGCCATGCATTCTTCGCCTCCGCCAATTCTTTACATAAACCCTGGCATCGCGCGCAATTTACTGAGTTTTCCGTTTCAGTGTTCTTTTATACCATTTTGATAATGTGTCCGTTGTGCCACTCCGCTTGAATTTGGCCTGTGTGATGTATAACCTGTTGCCTACCCGGGCTTTTGAAGGCGCTCACGTGCGCGCTCCTTCTCCCGAGAGCTCTTAGTGTGAGAGCGCGTTGCATTCATCTCTGAATTGTTTGTCTTTTAATTTAATGTCTCCCGAGTTTACATGGAATCCTGGTGTTTCTCGCCCTGTCGCTCATGTCATCCGAGGTAGTTTGAGCACCGGTTAGCCTCGTCTCTCGAGGCATTTGCCGCACCGGTCAGCTTGTCGCACCACCATCCGTATCACCGAATCGCATGAGGATGTCGAGTGTTGATTATTAATCATTTAACGCTAAAAATGTCTACTGAATTTGACCCGTATTTATCCGTCGGGTGGTGTGTAGCCGATTTTTCTATGATCTCGTACTGTTGCTTGTAGTATTCGCAGCAGCTCATCTTATTTCTGTCGGTGGCAATATTGTCGCCAAGCCAATACCCGGAGTTGATGCGAGTTCAATTTGTTCCGGAGTGACGTTAAGTCATTGTTAGCGACATTTTATCCGGAAGTCAGTCATGTTTCTTATGAAAAAAATCGCATCAACCTCAACTTCTTTTTCTTTGTCATTATGATTGATAAGTTATGCTCACAATTCTTTCCGATGAATCGTCGGCGATCCTGCCTATGATTAAGCCTTTTTTTTTTTTCCCTCTCCTTGCGAAATTACCCTAACGTGTAATTCAAAGGTCCCCTCAGAAGTGCAACCGCGACATCGCAGATCCAGCTGACTGGGTCACTAGTGTCAAGTAAATGTGGGTCAAACCTTTCTCGGTCATGGGCTTCTAGGCGGAGTATCGCCGGCTATTCATCGTACCCATGTTTTTTTTTTGGAGTTCCTCTTCGGAGGGTTGCTCCTTTGTATTGTCTTGTTTTATCCGGAGTGTAGTAGAAGTTCGAATTTTGTTGTATTTTTTTTTATTTCCCGTGTAAGTTTTTTTCCGGTTCGCGTCGCGTTTGGGAGCAGGGCCCCCTCCCCCCTTCGGTCTCCCCCCACGACCTTTTCCCCTTCGGTCTTTCCCCTATTTTCCCCTTGATAAGAAAGTCATTCAACGTAGCTCTCCTTTGCGGAGGTAGCTTTAAGTAATTGGACTGCATAGCTCCTCGCAGTCAGAAATCCCCCTCCCCTTTTCTTTTCATTCGGAGAGCTTTTTTCATGAAATCAACATGCAAATTGCGGAGAGAACCGGCCTTCATTTGGATTTACGAGCTGTAGCGGATTATACCTGGGACCTTCTTGTCTCCTCCTGTGGCAAAAGGACTGTCCGACGTGCCTTCTATTTTCAACGCTCACCGTGTCATGCACAGGTATCCTAGCCAAACTCAGGATTTTCATGTTCATCTGTTTCATGTTCCAGTTTTTTCGCACTTCAGCTCGCTCTCTCGTTGATATGAAGCCTTCTCTCCCTCCGTTATCATTTTTTTTTATGGTTTCTGTCCCCCATTTAAAGGGCCAGTGGTCCCTCGTGTCATCACTTTTCCCCATCCTATCACTATATATTTCAAATTTTCCCGCTCTTCTGTTTCTGCTGATGTAAGACCTGGTGATAGGCATTCGGTGTCTGCGCCATGTTTTGTTTACGCTTGCGTGACGTATTTCGATCTCTTCCGTATACTATCCATTCTACCTACCTGTTCCCCGTTGATTCCCCGTTTACCTGTTATCAGTCCATTTGCTCGCATGGCGGTTGAGGAGGGCCGCCATTTGCAAGCGTATTTACTCGACTTGGCGNAAGTCCAACTTTCCAAATTTAGCGATAGAAATGAATTCTGCTCCAAAGTATTGTTCTTGTTACCATTTCAAATTTCCCACTCATTTTATAAGAACATGCTCTGGAAGAGAATTCATCACTCGCTAAGTTTGGAAAGTTGGAATGAGTGGGGAAAACAAGATCATTAATTTGAATTTGGCGGGCGAATCAGGCCAGGGAACCTGAGCTCGTGTCACGAGCGCACTCTACTGGCCTATGGTGCAACTACTTGTAAATTTAGTTCAAAAAACCGCTACAAGATCGCTGTGCTGTCAGCCGTTCTCCTCACAATCGAACACAGATTTTAACACGGGGCCTTATGGGACTGAGTCATCCTAATACGTTAGTATATATTCATCCATGGTAGTGTGCTGCAACCTAGCGGACACATGGTGCCTTCGATTCGCGAAAAGTTACCTTCAGTACTCACAATCAGTTGCAGTTGATCGATTTCGTTTATTGTCTCATCATTTACCTATTAATATTTATATTTCGTTCATTTATTTACCTATAATATTTTTTCCGTGTCCAATTAGGGCATCATTAAAACAATTAATTTGGCCTCGTTAAGTGATACGTTCATCTTTGATACATTTTCTTCAAATGATCTAGAAAAGTTATTTTTTTGGAGCCGTAATAGTTTTCTCTGTTTTTATGAGAAATCGAGGATTTTTTATGTATTAATATTTCGGTACTTAAGTAATGGATCATTATTTTTCTTATGGATCTTGGATTTTTTTTCGGGGAGTGGGGGAGGAAGCACAATTTTAGATGTTTTAATTATTGCAAATTTTAAAATACTCAGTTAATAGGTAGTAAATTAAATCTGGGACTCATTAAAATTGCGCTCACCGCTGAGCGCTTCTCTAATACCCACGTATTAGAGCTTTCCCGCTTGTTTTTCTCTGTTTTACAAGAGGTCAACACTATGTCCGCATCTCTTGTGTGAATGCGCTGCGTATTTTCAACGGTCTAAGCGCGCACCGTAGTGAGCGCGCAATGCGTGAGGTATTTCCACAGTCTTGTAGGCGCTAATATGCGTTAAGCGCGCAATGCGTGAGGTATTTCCACAGTCTTGTAGGCGCTAACATGCGTTAAGCGCGCACCGCAGTGAAATCGGAATGCGTGTATTCTGTATTATTCCTACAGTCTCTTTGGCCGGAAGGTGACGGTTTCCATTTTGCACTTGAGGTATTAATAAGAGGGATTTTAAACTCACCCTCCCGATATGAGTTGGGTTGACTGGGGTTGTCGTAGAAGAAGCGGTCGCCAATCCTGGTTCGGATGAACTGCTCGCCCATGACGCAACGGAACGTGGGTCCGACCAGACTCTCGTCGGCCGGTTTCTCGGCTATCCCGCCGACGAGGAGGTCGATGTCGTCCACACTCTTGTACAACGACTTCAGCTTCTGCACGATCTGCAATCAAAAGGCATTCTCAAACATCGTGCGGACAACAGCATTAATTAAACTAACACAAAGAGAAGAAGAATGGAACACTAGACAAGGTACGAATTTCAGCATTCTGATACATGTTTCTTCACCAAAATTTCACGTAAAACACGATGCGCACAACGGAAATTACCGAAATCAACTCCTTCCGAAGATATTTAATGATTCTTGGTGCGTAAATTCAAACCACCCGCTCATGAAAACTCAATGCTCTACGTGATTCACATCGCGCGCTAAACGTTATCATGAACTTGTCTGCGATAAAAAAATCTGGCAACCTCAATCTTGACGCTTTGGCTCAGCTATAGCAAATTACTTACAGTTTGTAAAACACATGGAGGGAAATGAACATTGCTCGATTAGGAAGCTTGCTGAAACCGTTGGTATGTTGTGTTATGTGTTATATGTATGTGTTATGTGCTGAACCGTTGAATATTGACTTACCGATTTAGGAATATTCTCCTCCAGGTCGGTGAATGAGTGCGCCTCGGGAAGACCACAGAATTTGCGATACTGATTGTAGCCAGGAAGACCGTGATCCCGACCTCTCTGGATAGCCAGGCTCAGGGCATCCATGCCAAAGGCCATGCTGTCACTGAATAGGTATTGCGTCATCTGCAGCAAAGGAGAAGAGGTTCTACGTTTAACCGATCAACAGTTCTTATTAAAGAAGTTTACTGTTTGAAGTACCCCCATAGCAAACAAATCCCTTCAGCGAGCCGATTATTGAAATTGATAGACAAAGCTATAGACAGAGGAGGAACAGGGCGTATGGAGCGATCCTGTTAAATGAAATGGGTGGTTCCTAAAGACTACACTGAAAAAAAAAATATCGATGTATTTACTAAGGAAAGGGTAAAATTACCAAGAATTCAGGGTTCTATTTGATCCCAGTTTATTCTTGGTAAAATTACCATTCATGGAATTGGTAATTTTACTGGGCCTTGGTGTAAACGCCAATATTTTTTATCGACTGTGGTAGAACTACCGAGATAAAATGGCAAAGTTACCGGGAATTGATTACCAACAAAAGTGGTATTCTTACCTGAATTAAACAGTTAAAATACCGGTTTTTAGGTAAGTTTACCAGTCTGTCTTGGTAAAATTACCAATAATTGGTAAAAAAAAGTGAGATGGTGAAGGTACCAACGGACCTTCGTAAAAACGCCGAGAATTCTTTTTCAGTGTAAGGAAGAAAATGATGGACTAACTATCGGGTCCCTCGTGGGTTGCCGTTACTTTGCCGATTACCTACCTCCTTTGTCCATTGCAACCACCCGCTTCCACCAATGGGATACCTCCATATCTTTTTTGTCTTCTTTGTCTATAGCTTTGTCTATCAATTTCAATAATCGGCCCGCAGGAAAGTAACACACATCACGATCCCCTATTGGGGAAAAAATCCGAAAGGTCATAAGGTCATGGAGGGGTGTTTACTGCTCGGCTAAGGGAGAACTCCGTAAGAATATTCAAGCGCTAACAGATTTCCCTCGACAAAATATGACCTTTAGGAAAGTTATGAATATCCCTCTTTGAATTATTCAGATACTTTAGTTTAAATTGCGAACGAAAATTTGTGAAAATTAGATGAGGTCCGTTCATAAGTTTCTCTGAAAAATGTTTTTTTTTCTAATCGAAGAAAATTTGGCAACGTCAGGAGGAAAATAAGGCGTTCTTCCTTAGCAGAACGATTAGCACAGACTCCGCTAAACTTTTTTTTAAACTCGCTAACGGGAACACTTCTTGGGACGCACCACTGAAAAATGTCAGCATGAGTCGATATTTTTGAGTCCTCCCTCCTTTTCTAACTTGCTCTCTCCTAACGCGGTCACACCAACCGTTTACCTTTGGTCGCTCCAGAGCAAGGCTGCCAAATTGTACCAAATAATGTAGATATCCCGAGTTAAAATTGGGAAGAGTGCTGATTTTCAGCACAATCTGACAACTGTGATCGGAGGCAAAATGAGTATAATGGTCAGCGTTTTGAACGACGCGTTTTCATCGCGTTGCTTTGCGATAGAATCTTCGTTCCTTGGTACTCTAAAGAACTAAAAATAGAGGACTGTAGTCGCAGCAATCGTTGGAAACTGTGGTTAAAAGCGTTTGAATTTCGCCGAATTTCCAATTCATCCGTGTTTTCTCAGCTCATTGGATACGTTTTTGCGGAATACATCGACCGTAAACGTGATCGCAAAAGTGACACCCTCTCTACGTCAAATGTGCCTTTTTTTCATCAAAATCAATCTGAAAAGTTCATCACGATTGAAGCCATTTCAGCATGCGAGTTGAAAATCTATTTTGAGGTCTTTAGCAACTTGTGTTGTACCAGTTTCAGGCACGTTGACATTAACCTTGCCGGCTGACGCAGGTAATAGGTCAAAATGTCCAAAAATAAATATCTAGAAAAAAATTTCCAAAGTAAAAAAAGTACATCTGTAAAATATGTCCAAGTATCTGAAATGCCCAATAGTGGTATCGCGGCCAAAATGAAAAATGCTCAAAATTCCAGTTTCTATTAGAGTACCTATATAGCAAGAGTATGGACAGATCGCTTCATGGAGGGCTTAGGGCCCAAAAGTGCAGCCACCCTTCTAACCAACTTCTAACGCACAAAATTTCACTGCCAGTCTGCAGATTCCAATTCTAACCAAGATGGCTAAGAATGTACATAAATGAGTGTTCTTCCGCAAAAACGAGTAAATTTATGCAAAATCTAAGTAAAGCACGTGCTTTATAAACGATGGTTCGTAACAATTGTATTAGTAAAGCGCTCTGGATAATTGAGATTCATAGGTTGGCTGCATTTCTGGGCCCTAACTTTATTCGCGGAGACATTGGTGAAGGCCTGATGGATTTTAGGAGTTTCACATCTGTCTATACTCTCGCTATACAGGTACTGTAGTTTCTATCAGTCATGATTAACATTGCCATTTACCTGTTCGTAGAAATTCTTCATCATTTTCGTCTTGCGGCTCGTTGCAAACTCGAACATAATAGTCTATTCCCCTAGGATATCGTGGAATATCATCTTCATCTTTACATTCTTGATACCGCTGGACGCGCCTGAGGATTCTATCCTGATTTGCTCTTGACTTTTTTGACAGCATAAAGACTTCAAGCTCACTATGTTGCCACTTGGTCAAATCATGTCATTATTGGGCAATTTTTTCAGTCGAGTTACCGCTATTGGACATTCCAGATATTTGGACATGTTTTAGGTATGGACTTTTCTGATTTTGGACATTTTTATACTTAGGACATTTATCTTTGGACATTGGACGTATTTATGCTATTAAAGGAACTATGTTACACGCAAACCCTATGCAAATCGCACATAGTTCCTTTTAGCATAAATAGGTCCATTTTGTCCTATTGCCCTGACGCACAACAACGGATGAACCCCAAAACCAATGGAGATGTTGCATGTGTGAGGGATTTGCGATTTGACTATTAATTATGTTAAAGTTTGCGAGAAACACGATGGTGCCACTGGTTTTCTCTGAAATCAACTCCCAAGCTCAAAAAAAGCTCTCAAGTTGAGGCCCAAGGTGGGTCTTGGTGAGTTTTTGGACAACCTCCCTCTTTTTGTGCCGTAGTATCTTGATTTATTTTGCGAGGAAAGCTCGGTGCTCTTAAAGTATGACTGTCATATTTAATGTGTTGGAGCGCCCTCAATTTTGTATGACACTGTGCAAAACCTCTGTTGTGAAATAGTTGCTTGAAGCGCCGCGACGCGGCGGACGAGGTCGTCCAGCGTGACACGCGCATTGGCGCCTACAAACCTAACAGGGATACTTCACGCATAACGCAATGCGTGAAGTATCCCTGTTAGGTTTGTAGGCGCCAATGCCCGTTTCGTGCTGGCAATACGCAGCGAGCTTAAAAAAAGCTCTTAAGTTGAGACCAAAATGGAGGGGATATCCCACGCTATCCTGAGAGTCCACGTCTACATCAAGACAAACTCTCCATGCAAAGATAGGGAGCAAATACATTAGCAGTGATGCCGTGTTTTCAGTTTTTGAGTCCCCAAATAAAGTGGCAGCCCTGTCAATGTATTTGCTCCCTATCTGTGCATGGAGAGTTTGTCTGGATGTAGATGTGGACTCTCAGGGTAGGGTGGGATATCCCCTCCATTTTGGCCTCAACTTGAGAGCTTTTTTTGAGCTTGGGAGTTGATTTTAGAGAAAACCAGTGGCACCATCGTGTTTCTCACGAACTTTTACATAAGAATCAATGCGGTCAAATCGCAAATTCCTCATACATGCAACATCTCCATTATCTTGTCTGCGTCGTTTTAAAATTCCTTGGCCCCGTCAAGTCAACTTCATCGCTCGAGAGTTTCACTACACCCAAACAGAGATAATGTATCACGTGGACTTTCCAGAAATTCGGTCGATTTAAGTTTCAAGGAATTGCGTCGATATAATTTTCAAACAATTTTGTCGATTTAATTTTCAAATCGAATGATGAAACACGTAGGGAATATTTCAATGTCGAAAACATGTCACTGAGTTTTAAAAGAACGGCCGGCGAACCCTCAGACGCTATCAAATCTCTGCTGACGTAAATCAATTTTTTCTCAGAATTAATTAATTTTTTTCTCAGAATATCATTTGGAGTTTTAGTTGCAGTGTCTGAAAATTTCAAAGGGCAGTTTTCATAATTTCCTTCAAAAATATCTCATCAGGGGAGATTGTGCAACGTTTGGTTGCACATATACGGTTCTCTTCCCAGGTATGGGAGCATGATCCCCGCGTTAAACTATCGAGGCGGCTTGTTTTAATAAAAACACTTAGCTGTGACGCATTTTTTGACGCATTTTTTGACACATTTTTTGCTGTTTCAACTGGTGACAGCCTTATCCAGCAAATGGCGGCTATTGTTACCCTATGAAAAGAGCGAAAAAAGTACAGCAAGGATTTAGCCTTTAATCCGATTTCGTCAACGGGATTCACGCATTGGGACGGTTCACTGTTCGCCCGCAACTGTGCGTCGCGACTTCGACGATTCTATCTCGATCAAGTTTCGGTCGACTTGTTTTCACCGCGCGACTTTGCAAAGGACATTTTTTTCAGCGTAAACCCTTCGTACCAGAATTCAAAAGTAAAGGCTTGAGCAAAGTCTACCGGAGTCATCCTTGTACTACCCGATCATGTTTCAACTGATGTCCTACTTTAGTTTGGTAAGTGAAGAATACGGTACCCCTCGCACAAATGGACTTCCGAATTTCCATCCAGCCAATGGAGATTTCTGAAAGTTGGCACACTGATTTCTCTCTATTTAAATGTGTGTAAAACGATCGATTTTTAATGGATTTGAACAGCATAAACAGTGTTGCCAACTTACAAAATCGCAACTGTATCGAGCTCATGCGGCACGGAAAAAAAGTGCGGGTTTGTCCCCTAAAACATTGTAATACCACTCCAATTTGTTGGATGATGCGGGCATTTCCAGTTAATTGTGGTAGTACCGCGCGCAACATATCGGTTAGTAACCTACTTCATTGATCCTACATGTAACCTACTTCGTACAACTACAATTAATTTGAGTACTACCACAATGGAGATGTTGCATGTTTGAGTTTGCGATTATTGATTCTTTTGTAAAAATTCGCGAGAAACACGATGGTGCCACTGGTTTTCTCTGAAATAATCTCCCAAGCTCAAAAAAAGCTCTCAAGTTGAGGCCAAAATGGAGGGAATATCCCACGCCATCCTGAGAGTCCACCTCTACATCGAGACAAACACTCCATGCAGAGATAGGGAGCAAATACATACATACATCTCCATTCAACACTTCTTTATGGACAATTATAAGGGAGCAACAGTCATCACGCTTTTTTCGGCTGTTGACTAGTGTTAACCTACCTACATGGTGGGTGATGAGCTTCGAGCGACGTCATGAGCCAAACAAGTTTCCCAAACTTCGACTAGTTTTGGCTTGTTTGAAAAACGAAACTGCCAACACGTTGTTAAACTTCAACCACTCAGGTAAGTCAACAGGTAATTGTTGAAGTCCCGAAAGTAAGAGCTTCCACAATAGCCGAGATACTAGTGGAGGGTCTCTTGTCTCTCGGGGTTCACTGCCGTGCTAAGGAAAAACGCCGTGTGAACATTAGAGAATTGCCAAAGTCCCTTCACTAAAATGTTTATTTTTGAGGGTATTTATGAATATCTTTCTCTGAAATTGAACAAAATCATCTGAAAAATTAGAAGAAACGTATTTATAGGTTTGCTAGGCGTGTTTTAGCAAAGAGAATTTGGCAACGCCTGAAGGTTTCTACGGCGTTTTTCCATAGCACGGCAGTATAGTAGAGCAGGTTGATAATCGTTTCTTTTTAACCGTCATAGCAACAAACCTGCCGTGAGCGGCAGTCTTTTCCATGGGATTGTCGGCATGAAAGGGGTACTTTTTTTTTTTTTTTAAGTGCAGAATTCGGATCCTTCCCCACCATCGCAAATGACACCGAAAATTACGACTCAGAAGTCCATCAGCTCTTTTTTAATCATTTACTTTTATGACGGACGCAACAAGTGCAAAATAATTGCCTTCAACTTTTAAAAGACTTTTTTTTGGAGATAAATTGAAATGATTCAAAAATCATATTACGAGGAAGGGTTCCTTTATCCAAGTATTTCATTCTGTATCGAAAGTCCACAGGTTTTTGTAATTTTTTTCAAAGCGTTTCAGAAAAGGCATGTACGCTTTCAAAATCTCGTTTCATTGCGAGCTTGGAACGCACGTAATAGCTTAAAGAAATCCAGAGCGCCTTCAGTTTTTTGTACACGCAACATGCATATCCATCGTGCAGCAATAGTCGTATCAGCGCCTTGCCACTAGTGTTACTTCTTTGTTCTACATACATGAGTAAAGTTGAATAATTTTTCAATTCTGCGACGGAAATTTTCAAATTCCCTTAGTCGTAAACCTTGTTGAAAGCAAATCTCTCCGACAAAATAAGCCAGACTCAAAAATCAATAATTATTTAAGTCTACGTGTATTAACCTGCCGGGGTACTCGAAGCGCATTTTTCGTGCCCTCATTTTATTAATCAATGCATGCCGGTCTCCTTGTACAGAGTTTATAGTGTTTAAATTAAATTTACATACACAATAAAGTTAAGTAATTATAAAAGGTTGTACTCGTACTTAGGACGCGGAGCTATTAGAGAGATTATGTGCCTACACGTCGGGCACCATGTAATGTGTACTTGTTAGTTAGTTAGTTAGTTATTATAATTTTAAGACATTCAGCGACTCAGGCTATTAACGTCTTTACAGATAATTTTGAAAATAGGAGTATAAACGAAAATTTAGATTTTTAAATTAAGAGAGGTGAAGAGTTTTAGAATTTTGGTGGTAATATTAGGTTCATCGCATGTAAGAGTGTTAGAATGAAATATGTACATATTATATTCACATAAATATCAACAATCTATTTGAGACAATACTGTCTTCTCTTTATTTAACCTAATTTTTCATATTAATATCACCTGTTCAATCACCTCATCAATCATAAGTAATAATTATCTATAAGATCTTCAATTTCTTTAGTATAGCTACATTCTTATTTCATTAGTGAACTTCAATGGGTAAAGGGACTGCAGCGCACAAAAGAATAGTTTTTAGAACACCGATTTCTCTCCAAGTTGAGTTGAAACATCTAAAAATTTGTTTAACGTAAAACAACTCTCGTAATATCTTGTAAGATGAATTGGACTACATTTTGCAATTTGGAACTATAACTTCTAGCCCGGTTTAAAAACGACGTATGTGCCATTAGTTTCCCTATGCACATAAGTGTTTTTTCAGAAGAGCCAGAATTTATATTTCCAAATTGCAAAATGCAGTCCAATTGCATGCGCCACGGGGCCGCTCCATTTTTACGTACGGTATTTTACCCGATTTTTACCCCCCAACCCCACCCTAACTTCGAAAGCACCTGTATAAGGCAACTTCTCATCCCCAATTTCGCATCACGGAAGTCTGGCCCGAATCCGTAGCCTCCTTTCTTCCAGAAAAATATCGGAGAAAGTTTGAAAAATTCTATTTTTGCGTGTAAAAAAGGTTATTTTTTCCCATGAAAAAAATGGGAGCCTTACGTAAGACTGGGACCCTATAAAGCAAGACATACTCATATCTCCTTTTCCCTTTAAGTGACTTACGTGTTACTTGAATAGTCCCAGTGTATGGATAGGGGGCTTAAAGTTATATTTTAAGCCAAAAATTAAAGTCCTACGTATGAAAGATAAACATTTTAAATAGTATTTTTTCTTCCTTTCTTTTTTTTCATAACTACGTTTCTGAACTGTGAATTCCAAACTGTCAGAGTGTCAGTTTACTGGGCACTTTCAAACGTCTTGCATGACACAATTTTCAGAATGTACTTTCTTTGACAGTTGTATTGATGTATTAATGTTCTGTTTTTTGGCACGGGTCCTCTGCCCCAGATCTTCGTGTATTAAGCGTTTATAAGATAAGATACACATGTATTGATTGATTAAAAATGTGTGATTACTAAAGTGTAAATACGAGTTTTTATGGTTATTTATTAGCGGTACTGTTGGTGTTCGCACCCCGGTCAATGGACCGCTAGACAAGGTACGAATCTTAGCATTCTGATACATGTTTCTTGACCAAAATTTTACGTAGAGCACGATACGCACAAAGAAAATGACCGAAATCAATTCCTTACGAAGATATTTAATGATTCTTGATGCGTGAATTCAAACCACCCGCTCATGAAAACTCAATGCTCTACGTGATTCACATCGCGTGCTAAACGTTATCATGACAGTCTCTGCGATATAAAAATCTGGCAACCTCGATCTTGACGCTTTGGCTCAGCTGTAGCAAATTGCTTATAGTTTGAAAAACACATGATGGGAAATGAACATTGCTCCATTGAGGAGCTTGCTGAAACCATTGTGGTGCGCGATTTGACACACGTAGAGCTTTGAGTTTCTTGTGAGCGGGCAGTTCAAATTCCTCGTATCCAATGTGAAATAAAAACGTTGATATCTTCGTTAGGCGTTAGTTTCAGTAATATTCGTTGCGCTAATCGTGTTCTACGTGAAATTCTGGCTAAGAAACATGTATCAGATTGCTTAAATTCGTCCCTAGTCTGGTGGTCAATACCAGCCGTTTCCAACGCGGTTAAACGTAAGGAGAAACGCCGCGCCGCATGAGCCTTTAGACGTTGCCAACTTTCCTTTGATAAATTGTAATGGGGGGATGAAATAATCTAAACTCACGTAACTCAAATGGTAGAGTGGACAGTATATTCGGAGAATACAAGAGCGCTATCACTAGATCGCTGCCTCGAAGATACGACCCCGCGCCGCGGGCCCCTCAGAGTATATATGGATTGCATTTTGCAAAAAGGAACCACTAGCATTGCAATGTTGCTAAGATTGTGCAACTTCTTTTGTCTTGGAGGAAAAACCCGATTATCCATTAATAGTTTCTATTTTACTCGCTAAAAACTGTAAATTGAAGACAAAAAATACCATCTAAATTTCATAGTTTTCCACGATTTCCGCAATTTTATTGCAAAAGATGAAGGTGCACAATCTTAGCATCATTGCAATGCTAGTGGTTCCTTTTTGCAAAATGCAATCCATATCTCGGTAGCATCCGGAAGAGCGATGACGTCCAAGATGTCATTGCGATGACCATAATGCTCCAAGGTAGATACTCTGAGGTCGCCGAAATGCACGCGCGAGCTTGCGCTCCGAAAGTGATGGCTTTCGGGCTGAAGGAGCTAGAAAGCATAATAGAATGCGGCCCTAGAAACGTAAGTGATATGGCCTCGTTCTATTACACCATCCCACCATACGTTAAAAAAAAATAGTAAAAAAATAATAATTTAACCATCCCTTTCGAAGCAAAGGCCCATGCGCAGCAAATTGCAGCGTTTCGTCGTAAAAAAATAGTAAAATAAAAGAAGTTTAAAAAAATCATAAATAAGAGAAGGCTAGCGTTAAAAAAAACATTAATCGAATGGTAATAGAAAATATGACTTTTTCCAGAAAAAAAAAAATATAAATAAAGCGGCTACAATCTTTGCCGGAATCCAATCAGAGCTTTGGTTTGAAGAACTTCATGGCTTTTCTGTTCATTTAACAACATCCCAAAAGAACCATGAGGCCCCTCTGCCCCAGCCCTAACCTGATTCGTCCCGGTACTCGTTAAAAAAAATCGAGCTGAAACAAAATATAAATAAATACGCTCTTTTATCCAGCACCGGGTTATTTTCTTAACCTAGGTAAATATAACAAAACGCCGAGAAGAGTTTTCCGTGACCGTCCGTCCAACGCATTCATGCTGATTCAGAAATCGCCTGGTAGTCATGTCATTGCCCAATGCTGCTGTTGATGTACACCGTCAACATCCGCTGTTATCCAAGTTTCAGCCGCCTCGCAGTACAGTGAGAATGCATGTTTGCCAAATCTATGAGTTGCCTATCGATGACCTCGCGGGAAAGATGTTAGGACCCACCAATTAGGTTGCGGAAAGTTCACCGATCGCCCTTGCCGCGATTGCAGTGTGTCCCCTAGGATGTCCAAGGATGCCTTCGGATGTCCACCGGCCTGATGTCCCCGACGACCTCTCGGAAGGAATGCGCCTGATCCCGCCCAGAGGTTGATGCAGGATGAGCCAGGTTTGCAGATCGCTCTCGACTTGACAGCAGCGTGTCCCCCGGGATGTCCCAGTATCCTCTTTGGTTGTTCGCCGGCCCGATGTTCCCGACAAGGAGATATGACGATGGGAGAAGTCCCTCGGGAGGAACGTGCCCGACTCCGCCGAAAAGTTGATGCAGCGAGATTTTCCAGGGATGT